TGCATGTTTGTGTTACCAGGATCCCAGGAGAAAAATGGAAGTGAAGGGATTGCAGTGTGGCCATCCCTCCAAAGGATGATTTCTCACTTTCCCTCTCACTGTCTCTTCCTCTGTCTCTCTGACAAGTGCGGCAAAAACCAAAACAAACAAAAAGTCTGCTTTATTCCAACCTTTTCACTTCATAGAGGAGAACTTGCCCAGTTAAGGTGAACAGACAGTAACACAGCCATCCTATTTTGAACTCATTTGCCATTTCTTAGCCCATTACTTAAAAGTATGAGAGCTTTGATGGTTATCCAAAGTAGCATCAGGGCGAGCAGGTGGTGTAGTGGTTAAAGTGCTGGACTCCCACATGGTTGACCTTGGTTTGAGTCCTGGGCCCGGTAGCTTGAAATTCATTCCGGGTGCATGTACATGCATACTCAAAATCCCTAGAGGAGAATGGAGGAGTAGAGATCACAATGTGACCATCTGCTCTGGGGGAGGATTTCTTATTTTGTCTCTATGGTGAGCACACTCACACTCTATAGCAATCTCTCTCTCTCTCAAAAAAAGAAAAAGAAAAGAAGAAGAAGAAAAAAAGTGGCATCAATTAGGATCTTTAATCCTGGAGGATGACGTAGATTCATAGGATAGTAGATTTAAAGAGAATTCCTTAGACCAGTGCTTCTTAAACTTTTTTGCTTAGATTTTTTTGGTATGAATCACTTTCTTTATGTGTTCCTTAGTTAATATACATAGCCTATTCCATCATTGAAGAAAAAAGTATTTGGTGAATGGATGAGCAAAGAACTGAAAGTAATTGCACGCATTAGTGGTTCTCAAACTTTTTAGTTTCAAAATGCAGTTTGAAGACCCTAAAGAGATTTTATTTGCGTGGATTTATCTGTACATTTTTATCATATTAGAATTTAAAACCAGCAAATTTTAAGACATTTATTAATTCACTAAAAGATATCAATAAACCCACTATAAGTTAGCATAAATTATATATATGAAAAGTTTTTACCATAGCAAGGTAATTAGAAAGATAGTATTGTATTATACACACACACACACACACACACACACACACACACTTATTTTAAGGTTTTTGCTATAGGGCACATGTACTCATGAGAGAATTCACCTCCCCAGGGTGGATGGCCATGCTGCAGTCCCTTCTCCATTCTCCTCTTGCAATTATGGGCGAACATGCACACAAGCCTGGTGTGATTTTCAAGCTGCCAGGACTTGAACTGTAGTCAACCATATGGGAATCCAGCATCTTAACTACTACACCACCTGCTGGCCCTGCATTGTTTTCTGTTTTTTCAAGAGTCCTTAGTACCTGGCTTAGTAGAAGATAGCTGGATTCTCATCGACTTCTTCGTTCAAACTGTTGTAAAATATGGTTAGGGTGGAAGTACATGAAGACTATCTGGCCTCGCATAAATATATAGTTGGGAAAGAGAAGTCTCTCAATAGCCTTTTCAGAAAATCATAGATATTCTCCTTTCATTCTAAACCTTCACTGCAGTGTAAAATCTGAAGCTGTACTATCTTCTGTTACATTCGAGTATTTGTTTATTTTGCATTTTACATAGGTGTTTTACCTACGCATGATTTTGTAATATCATGGTTCACGAAGTTTTGTACATCTTTTGAATGTCAACTTACTACTTTACATGATTTCCAAAAAGTCACATTTTTGTTACTGTCACTCCAGGTATCATTAGAAAAGTCTCTGAGTATTAGGGAGGCTTTAAGTTCTTACAGCGACTTATATAAGTCTTCAAAACTTCCTATTTTTCACTTGAAAGCTCGAATTTTATCATTGGCAACAGATGCTGTCAGCTGTTTACCTCAAGCTGACAGTCTTACTTGGTTCATATCCGAGAACAGGTCTGCCAAACACTCCAGTCTAAATAATTGTACTTCCCTCTCGTTCGTTCTTTCCAGTAAGTATAGAGCTGCATGTAAAGAGTGGTGCAGAGTGACTTGCCTGCCTTTCAGATGATCGCATGGCCGGTTTTTCTCTTCGGTCATTATACTTCTGCCTGCAGAAATGCTTTATGTGCACTTCCCATGTCGTTATACATAGCATTATGAAGGTATATCCCCAAGGATGAGACTTAATAAAAGTAATCATTTTTTATTGCTTTATCAAGGACACTCTTTTTTCCCCTCCCAGACACCAGGTATATTTATTGTTACCACTCAGCACATCTTTCAGTGTGCAAAGCTGCTTTGAGATTATATAGACTTACACTAAAATTCTGATCTTTAGACTCCAAAGTTTATGCTTTGTCTGCTGTTTCTCATCTAAATACTGTGGGCCTTCAGAATGGCCCATATCCAAGTTGGCTTGGCTGTTTCAGCCTTGGAGCTTTGGGTCTCATTTATTGGATATGGAGACATTCACAGGGATGGAAATAAGTACAATAGTCTATCAAGGACCCATAATTTTTTAAAAAAAATTATTATTTATTTAAGTTAAAAGAATTCATTCATTTATTTTAATTTGACCAGAGAAAGAGACACAGAGACAGGAGGAAAGTGGGAAAGCAAGCCATCAAGCCATCAGATCCAAGACTCAAATTACAGTTGGCCATGTGGGAGTGTCCAGTGCCTTAACAACTACACAACCTGCTGGCCCTCAAGGACACTCTGAAATGCAGGTAGTTTTTTTTTTTTTTTTAAAGAAGCTTTTGCCTCTTAGGGTGTGTGCGCTCACCAGAGTGATAGAGAGACAGAGATATAGAGAGAGAAAGTGAGAAATCAGTCCCCTAAGGGGAATGCTCACACTGCAATCTCTTCTCTTCCATTCTCCTTTCAGGATCCTGAGCACACATATACACACTCCTGATGTGATTTTCAAGCTACCGGGTACAGAACTCAAATCACGGCTGGGCATGTGGGAGTCCACCGACATAACTACTTCTCCATCTGCTGGCCCTTTTTTAAATTATTATTTTAAATTTTATTTTATTTCAAGATCTTTTATACATTCAATCACGTTATTTAGCTTTCAAAGTGAATATTCCAACATGTGTACATTTCTCTCCAGTCCAGTTGATAATACTATAAAGTTATCTTCAATAGATAGTACCCCATTTTTTTGTCCCATTAATGGCTATGCCTCTCTATTTTTTTCCTTAATGTCCTTCAGACTCAGACTCTACTCCTTCACCCACCCTCTTCCCACACTGTGTTTCTATATCCTTTAGTCATTCAGTCTCGGTCGTAGAGTGCGGACACTTGGTATATATTAAGTGGAGACATACAGTGTCTCTCCTTCATAGCCTGGCTTGCTTCACTCAGCAGTAAATCTTTCATATTCATCCACTTTCTGTCAAAAGCTAGGGTCTTGTTTTTTTTATGGCCGAGTAGTATTCCATAGAGTATATGTGCCACAGTTTTTCTATCCATTCATCTGTTTGTGGACATTTGGGTTGGTTCTGTGTCTTAGCATTTGTGACTAATGCTGCAATAAATATCCATGTGCAAGCACTTTTCTGATGAAGAATTCTTCTGTCCTTTGGGTAGATACCAAGGAGTAGAATTGCTGGATCATATGGTAGTTCTATCTGTAGATCTCCAAATTGTTCTCCACAGTGGCTAGATCAATTTACATTCCTATCAGCAATGTAAGAGAGTTCCCCTTTCACCACATCCCCACCAGCACTTATATATATTTTTTAATCTTAGTCATTCTGACTGGGTTAGGTGGTATCTCATTGTTTCTTTGACCTGCATTTCCCTTTCAATAAGGGATGTTGAGCATTTTTTCATATGCTTTTTGGCTATTCCTATGTCATCCTTAGAGAGTGGCTTTTTCAATTAATTCTCCCATCTTTTAATAGGGTTGATCATTTTTTTTTAGGACAGCTGCTTGAGTTCCTTGTGTATTCTGGTTATGCATCCTTATCTGTTGCATAGTTTACAAAAATATCTTCCCATTCTGAGGCCTGTCTGTTCACACTAATTACTGTGTCTTTTGCCATGCAAAAACTTCTTAGTCTGATGTAATCCCACTTGTCTATTTTGGGGATTATTGACTGTGCTTTGAGGATCTTATTTAAGAAGTCTTTGTCTACCCCAATGTCTCCCAGAGTTTCCACAGGGTTTTCTAGGAGCAGTTTTATAGTTTGAGGTCTTAGGTTTAGATCTTTGACCCACCTTGAGTTGATTTTTGTTTTTGTTTTTAATGTGATTGTATAATGGAGAATATGAAACCCACTAGGACAGTTTGGTATCATTTCTTTGATTAATCTAAAGTGATAGCTGTTTTGCCTTCCTATTTATAATATTAGTGCAGAAAAAGGTGAATCATGTATTATGAAAATCGTTTGGACCTCAAGGACTCTCTTAAAGTGTTTTGGGGTTCCCCAGAGGTTGACATCATCATTTTCAAATTTCTGACATAAGCCAGTGCTGCAGTTTTGTGGATATCAGAGGAAAAGTCTGCCATAATGCTAGGAGGAAAAGGCATGGTAGAAAGTCAGCACCTGAACTCACTTTACGCCCTCCTCAGCATCTAGCATCCATTGTGGTAACTGTATAAACATGCTCTTGGCACCCTGAGGATGGAGTCAGCCCTACAAAAGCAGAACTGGGTGTTGAGTTTCTAAAACCATGCTCTCGTGGTTATTTGAAAACTATTTGGCATTTTAAACTCCCATCTCCTCCTCAACACTGAAATTTAATATCATGTAATTGACACCAAATGATGATGTCAGGTGTTTGGGTCATGACGCCATCTGTTGGCAGCATGGCTTTGGAGTTCCTCCCAACTGAATTTTTGCTGCCTCACAGCAAAAGTTAAAGAGCAGTATATATCGAGAAGTGGGTGCATGAATCTTTTAGTTGACCTGGTTTCAGCAACTTTGTGTTTTCATGTTAGAATACTGTTTTCAGTGACCAAGTTAAAAATGAAATGCTTCAAGTAAGCAGCGTTCATATTTTGGCATTTGTGTCAGTGGGTCTAATGTTCCCCTTCCCCTTTCCTTTGTTTTCAGCAATGGAAGAGTTAATAGTTGAACTTCGTCTCTTTCTTGAACTTCTGGACCATGAATATCTAACATCGACTGTCAGGGAGAAAAAGGCAGTCATAACCAACATTCTGCTGAGGATACAGTCATCCAAAGGTGAGTCTCCTTGAAACATCTGACCTGTTGTCTTCCAATCCCTGTTGGCTTACAAACCATCTTCAAGCCCACCATGTTTTTTTTTTTTTTAAAGTAAATTTATTTTATTTCTTTATGAGAGAGAGAGGGTGGGAGTGTGTTCATGAGTGTGTATGCATGTGTGAAAAGTGAGAGAGACACAGGCTCTCTTGATAGAGTCTTATCACGTCACAATCTGCTTCCTCCATCCCTTCCCAGTCAGGAGTGTTTGAGGTTGAACCTGCGGTTGGCCATGTGGCTTCCAGCACTGCAGTGCAGTGTACTACTGCCTATGCCTCCGAGGCTGGACACAATTCTACCGTCTCTCTAAAATGTATTTATTTGTTCATTAACTTATGAACCTACTTATTCATCATGTTTTCATTGAGGGCTTATATTTGTACCAAGTACTGTGTTAGCCTTTAAGTATAGAAAGACAAAGACTTTAAGAAGCTAGTCGAATAGTGGGTAGTGTGTTGGCACCCTCAGGGGCACCCCAACATTTGCAGGTGAACTAGAAAGACCCCAAGGACTCAGCATATAATTGTCCTTATTCCTGCCAGGATACCATACACAGCTGTGAGGACTCCAGCCTCACTGGAAGGGAGGACACCTGGTGGGGTCTGGAGAAACACAAGGGGCTCCCTAATTCTCTGTCTATCCCGCAGGGGCTACTTGCAGCACCCTCTTCCCACGGCAGTGTTGTGCAGTGTTTCTGCTAGGGAAGCTTGCTGGAAACTTAGCACCTGAGGTTCCTTCTTGGGCAGGTCGGATAGGCTGTCTCCACCTGGCAGGTAGCAGCATTCCAAACTCCCAGAAAAGCCAGTATTCAGCATAAACCGTGTTGTTTGCACAGTTTAGGCACACTAGGCCAGTCATATCAATTAGAAAAATGATGGGAACACTTCTGCAACCCAAGTTCCCAGATGCCAGCCAAGGACCACCTGTGCCTATAGACCCCTTTGTATAGACAGCCTCGGGCTTGCTACACGAACTCTCATATGCACAGTGGGTAAGACAGAAAAATAGGGCATAATAAAGCCTGCTCTGGGCCAGCTGGTGGCCCAGTGGCTGGATCTCACATGGGCAGCCATGCAGTTTGAGTCCTAGACCTGGCAGCTTGGAAAACACATGGGGCGAGGGTATGGCTACATGCATGTGTGTGCCCCAAATCCTAAAGAGATGGAGGAGAAGGGATTGTGGTGTGACGTGCCCTGTGGATATCGCTTTCTCACTTTCTCTCTCTCTGTCTGTCTTCTGTGAGCACATGCGCCCTCTGACACATTACTAGATAAATAAGGGCCTGCTCCATATTGCCCTAGAGAGCATCAGAGTATTGGGAGGTCACTTGAGAGGAATCCGAACCAGTTTAGGGGGAGGTGAGAATGGTGGAGAGCAATGCTTGGAGAATGTCTAATGCTACAGTCTTTTAAATTTATCCATCTATTTCTTCATGCATGAGAGAGACAGAGAGACAGTACCTTCAAGCAGTCATGATACTTCAGTCCCCCAAGTCTGCCCTGGATCATGGCACACCTCAGGGAGCTCCCTGGATGTGAACACAGAGCCTCCCAGAGGGTCAGCCTCACAGAGTGCTGCACTTCACTGTGTGCCACCCTCTGTCCCTTGCTGTTCAGATCTTGAAGTCTCTGCTGAGCTGCAGTGGTACACAGATAGCAAGTTACTATCACTCAGAAGCCACTTGGGAGTCCTGGGTTTGGTTCCCAGCGTGATTGTGTGCCTGTAATCCTGGCTAACTGGGACACAGGGAAGAAGGCCTGTGAAATAATAAAGATGTTTAAAAGAAAAATCCCTACATCTCACCCAGCTCCCTCCTGCAGAGCTATGAGGAATGCATTTTTCCTTTATGAGGGGAGGGGAGTTGTAGGGTGGGGAGACAGAAATAGGCATTTGTGACAGAGTCTTGTCTTGTCACGTTGTGATCCTTCTTCCCCGTGTCCCAGTTAGCCAGGATTATAGGCACACACAATTATTTCAGTCATTGTTCTTATTTTTAAAATTTGACCAGGGAGAGAGGGAGAGAGAGAGAGAAGGAAAGTGAGAAGCTACGAGGGCCAGGACTCGGCCGTGGTCGACCATGTGGGAGTCTAGTGCCTTCACCACCATGCTACCTGCTAGCTATTATTTTTTCTAATTATTTTTATTAGTAGAGGTGTGTTCCTTTTCGCCTTCAGTGTGTCTAAGCTTCTCAGCCGTTCCAGGTTCTGGTCTGAACACACCAAAGTGTTTGACCCTCTGTGACTAGACGGTGTTTGCTTTCCCCTGGTTTCTGGACCTCTCTTTTTCTGCCCAGTGAGTTCTAACCCTTCTCTCTATGCTTCCTTCTAGATGTATCTTCTGACATTTTCCAAGTTACTTTTGTTTCTTCAGCTTTTTAATTTGCTTTAAACCAGCCACTGCTTTTTATTTATTTATTTATTTATTTAAAAAAAGCAGTAGTTTCCATTTGTTTGTTTTGTTTCTAGTTCTGCTAAAATCCTTGGGTCTATTGCAGATCCTGAAAATCAGGCATCATCAGGCTTTTTTATATTTAAATTCCTGGCCTCTGGTATAGTTCTTGATTCATTATAGATGATCATCATTAAGTGATTATTTTTTATAGTTCTTGCCAGATACAGAGTGTTGTGCCCAAAGAGGAAAACTCGCTTCTTCCTCTTCCCTGCCTGCAGTGGTGTGGTGCCCCTCACCTTGTAGTTCGTTATGTATGCATTTGCCTTCCCAGCTTGAGTACAGTCCCCGAGGGAGGTGAGCTTGGTATCGGTCATGCCATCTGTAAAGTATGTCTGTTACCGTGTCTGAGTTTAGAGCGCTGCTTAGTGAACATGCATGGATCCCAGGAAAGCGTCTGCTTCCTTAGAACACGGGTAAGTGTAGTCCTGAGTGAGGTTCAGGTAGAGCACTTGGCTTTGACAGGCAGCGTGGCATTGAGAGGAAAGGAGGTGTTGGTGCCAGCTGCATCGTTTCTAGCTGTTAATGTGTTGAGTAATTCTTCACTCTTCCTTTTTTTGGCCATAGCGTTTGTCCCCTGTGAAATGTAGAACACTATTCTGTCCCTTGCAGGATGTTGTAAAGGACCAGAGGAAATAGGTATCGGTAGTGTTCAGCTCGGGGCTGAGCTGATTGCTGCCGGTGGCCTCCTCCTCCTGCTCATCCAGTTCTGCGGTTCGGTGTCCCCCACAGGTTTCGAAGTGAAGGGTCATGCTCAGAAGCAGGAGCCCACCAGCAGCCTGCCTGCTCCTCCTCAGATGCCTCTGCCGGAGATCCCGCAACCATGGCTGGTGAGTTCTAATCCACCCTCTCAGCTGTCTTTGCTGGCCACCTGGCTTACTCCTGGGCTCTAGGGCTGGGGGGTAGAAGCCCTGCTCCTAAAGATGGAGGCCGAAGCTGCTAGGAATCGCCAATTGGAAGACCCTGTACGGGTAACCTTCCCTGAGGGAGCTGGTGTTTCTTTGCAAATCACTGGAACTACAGGTCCATGGGAAGCTAGTCTTCAGTCAAATTAAGAGAAAAAACACATATATATGTCAAGAATGTGTAATATATTTGACTTTTTTCATTCAAAATTTGTTTTTTGCATTTTTGTTGTTGTTGTTTCTGTTTTTTTTTTTTTTTTTTTTGGGGGGTTTTT